CAGGTGCTGGCCACCGACTTCCCGCACTTTCTTGACCGGATGAACCTCAAAACTTTAAATCCTTTTTGGAACAACAACCTTCTGGCTGTGAATGGCCAGCACTGGAGGCGCATTCGCAGCCTGACCACGCCCGCCTTCACCGCCAGNGCACGTTGAACCCCTTCTGGAACAACAACCTTCTGGCGGTGAATGGGCAGCACTGGAGGCGCATTCGCAGCCTGACCACGCCCGCCTTCACCGCCAGCAAGCTGCGGGGAATGCACCCGATGATGGGCCGGTCGGCGGAGAAGCTGGTCAGCCACTTGAACTCCACTCTCTTAACCTCCTCCTCCTCCTCTTCTTCAGCTACTGTACAGATCAAGGCCATCATCGCCTGCTTCGCCATCGACGTCATCGCAAAGACCTCCTTTGCCGCTGATACTGATGCTATTAATGAGAAGAGGGAACAAAACGGCGGTGAAAGCCCCTCCGGAAACGCCGTCGTCGACAACTGTCGTCAGCTCTTCGTCATTTCACCCCTTCGCCTGGTCGCCGTTTTGCTGCTGCCCAAAGCCGTTCTTCGCCTGTTGAACATTGACTGCTTTCTTCCGCCTGAACCGTTTCAGTATCTGATCAACCTGACGAGGCACATTGTCCGCGAGAGGAAGGCCGAGTGTGAACAGGGCAAAACTACTAGTAGTAGTGCTGAAGCTAAAAAGCGAACAGATTTAGTGCAGCTGCTGGTTGACGCCAAAGCCGACGAGGCTGAGGTGTTTGCTGCATCGGACAAGTGCTCGTCCTATGAGCACCTCGAGGCGGCCAATGAGGACAGTGAAAAGGCGAGAAAAACTCCTGACCCACCTCCAAACTCCTCTGTATCACTAACCGGCCTTTCAGAAACGGAAATCATTGCTCAGGGAATCTTTTTCCTGACTGCCGGCTTTGAGACTAGCAGCAGCACACTGGTGCACGCGCTCTATGAACTGGCCCGCAATTCTTCTGCTCAGGCTCGACTGTACGACGAGCTGAAGGTCGTTCTCGAATCACTATCGTCAAGTAGTCGTACATCAGCGGAGTACTTTGAGGCGGTGCTCAGCCGTTTGCCTTATCTGGAGGCAGTTCTCAAGGAGACCCTGCGGAAGTACGCCCCCGTCCAGGTCCTCCTGCGGACCACCGTCACCGACGGTCACCGGCTGGAGAACGGGCTACGCCTTGAGCGGGGCCAGGTGATTGAGATTCCAGTAGGGGCGGTGCACTACTCTCCGGAGTACTACCCGGAACCACAGGAGTTCCGACCGGAGCGGTTTTTGCCGGAAAACGCCCACCTTCTGGTTCCATACACTTGGCTGCCCTTCGGCGCAGGAGCGCGCAACTGTGTGGGAATTCGCTTTGCTATGGAGGAAATGAAGATCTGTTTAGCTGCTTTACTGGAGAACTTTGAGTTTGCCCCTGCCCCCAACACTCCTAATGAGCTTGTTTTTCAGCGAGGCACTCCAGTGCTTAATTCTGCCGAGTTTCCGCTCAGAATGAGCAAGAGGAGCCATTAAAATGGTAATCAAAATAAAATCATTTTTTCCAGTGAAAAATGGTGTTTTCAAGTATTATCAGCCTATCCTCTCTCTCTCCGCACTGACTCTTTTTGCTCTAGAAAATACGCCGTTAAAGATATTGAAAAACAGTTTTCACCAGTGAAACGAGATAAATGGCATCTTTCTAATGGTACCAAACTCGAGTTGATCAGATAACCGGAAGTACCTTATCTGATCATAGTCACTTTTTAAAACAGCCATATTAAATACTAAATGAATTCCAATAAGATTTTTGATTGCACCATTAGATTCCTCGCCCTTTAATTGGTCTGTGTTTAATTCGGTGTTTTCTCAAAACCTTATGGTTAACCAGAAAACTCAAAAAGTTTGGAACGTTGTCTGTTGCTATGCGCCGCT